AACCCAGCCTGGAGAGTCAGAGAAACCTTCCAGAGGAGGGAACTGCTAAGCTGAGCCTGAAGGACAGGACAGACTCAGCAGTGTTGTTGCTAGGTGTTATCAAGTTGGTTCCAACTCACAGCAACCCGTGTACAACAGAATGAAACACCGCCCGGTCCTACGCCAGCCTTACAATCCTTGCTAGGTTTGAGCCCATCATTGCAGCCACTGTGTCAGTCCATCTCGTTGAGGGTCTTTCCCTTTTTCATTGACCCTCTACTTTACCAAGCTTGATAGTCTTCCCCAAGGACAGGTCCCTCCTGATAATATAACCAAAGTACAAGAGATGAAGTCTAGCCATTCTTGCTTCTAAGGAGCATTCCGGCTGTACTTCCTCCAAGATAGATTTGTTCGTTCTGCTGGCAGTCCATGGCATATTCCATATTCTTCATCGACAGCAGGTAGGGGGAGAAACAAGGGTTACGAGGGATCCCCTGAACAGCCAGACGACCCACTGATCACAGTTGTTGATCCACTGGGGTTTGAGGTATCTCAGATATGAAATGGGCACAGGAGGCTGTTATGGGTTGAACTGTGTCCACATCCATGTGGGCAATCTAAGCCCACACCTGTGCACGGGATCCCATTTGGAAATAGGGTTTCTCTGTATGTTGATAGGGTTATAGCTGTGTAGGGTATGTCTTCAATCTATCCTTCCGGAGCAGCTGAGACCTCTGAACAGACATGGGGAAAGACATACACTGTGCCAGGCTCTCTGAGGATGCTGGGGACACAGAAACTGAAAGAGACAAGGGCCTTTCCCTAGAGCCCACAGAGAGAGAGCTCCCCTCAGAGCTGGTGCCTTGGATTTGGCCTTCTAGCCTCTTAAACTGTGAGGGACATCATTGCTGATGTCAGATGGACCTTAGCTGAAAGCCCAGAACACCAGAAAGATGTTTATCTCTGTTTTATTGACTATGCAAAGGCAATCAACTGTGTGGACTGTAACAAATTATGGATAGATAACACAGAGAAGAGTGGGAATTCCAGAACTCTTCATTGTACTCATGAGGAAACTGTACATAGACCAAGAGGCTGTCTTTGGAACAGAATAAGGGGACACTGAATGGTTTACAGTCAGGAAGGGAGTGTGTCAGGGTTGTATCCTTTTACCATACTTACTCAATCTGTATGCTGAGCAAACAATCTGAGAAGCTGGACTATATGAAGAAAGCAGCATCAGGATTGGAGGAAGGCTCCTTAACAACCTGATAAACAGATGATACAACCTTGCTGGCTGAAAGTGAAGAGGACTCGAAGCATTTACTGATGAAGATCAAAGTATGGATTACACCTTAACATAAAGAAAATGAAAAGCCTCACAACTGGACCAATAAGCAGCATCACGATAAGTGGAGAAAACATTAGAGTTGTCAAGGATTTCATTTTACAATCAACACCCATGGAAGCAGCAGTCAATAAATTAGATGTCACTGGGTGAACACTGACATCAGGTAGATACACTCCTTGGAGAGATCACTCATGGGAGAAAGAAGGGCAGTGTTTGCACAGGGAGACAGCTCAGGGGGCAGGAGTGCATAGGAAAGGACACAGGGAAGAGGTAACTATGGGAAGGAAGTGGGAAGGGAGCTGTTACATGGTGGGGAACTGCAGTCAGTGTCATGAAACAAGATGTGAACTACCATATGGGAAATGAATTTGCTCTGTAAACTTTCACCCAAATTACATTAAAATTTTAAACAACAAAAAAAAAAGTCTTTATGAGAGCAGACTGCCACATCTTTCTCCCATGGAGCAGCTGGTGGGTTCAGACCACTGACCTTCCAGTTAGCAGTCAAGTGCTTAAGCACTGTACCACCAGGGCTCCTCCCATCACCTGTTGTGTCCCCTAAACTTTTTCCTTTTCCCTTCCCTCCCACCTGCCCTTTGCAACCACTAATGAACTTTTATCTCTGTAATAAAAGAGAGAGAGAGAGAGAGAGAGAGAAGAAAACAGATGCTGTATTGCATTGTCCTATCTGCTGCAGAAGATCTCTTTAAAGAGTTAAAAAGCAAAGATGTCACTTTGAAGACTAAGGTGTGCCTAACCCAAGCCATGATGTTTTCAGTCACCTCATATACATGTGAAAACCAGACAATGAATAAGAAGACTGAACACTGTCAACTACTCAGAGAGGGATCTATGTAGGAGACCCTGGATAGAGAGGGAGAACAATGTGGAACAAAACTCAAAATTATTTGGGGAAAAAAGGGGGGGCCAGGTTTGCTGGTCTGATAGAGCCTTGTGGAACCACTGAGACTATGGTCCCTAGCTGCCCTTCAGGTCTGGAATTGAACCCACACCTGTGGCTTTCAGCCAAACAAAAGACAGGCATATGAGTTGAACATGTACCTGAGGTAGATACACTCCTTGGAGAGAACAACCATGGGAAAAAGAGGGGCTGTTTATGCACAGGGAGACAGCTCAGGGGGCAGGAGTGCATGGAGGGATGGACACAGGGAAGAAGTAATTATTGGAAAGAAGTGGGAGGGGAGCTGTTGCATTGTGGTAAATTGCAGTCAATGTCATGAGACAACGTGTGTGTGAACTGCTGTATGGAAAGTGAATTTGCTGTATACACTTTCACCCAAATCCCAATTACATAAAAAAAAAAAAACCTTATGAATAAGAAAAAAAAGAAGACAACTGAAGAAGAGTCAATGCTTTTGAGTTGTAGTGTTGGTGAAGAATACTGAAAGTACCATGGACTGCCAGAAGAATGAACACATCTGTCCTAGAAAAAGTGCAGTGCGAATGCTCCTTAGAAGCGAGAATGGCCAGACCTCATCTCACCTACTTTGGTCATGTTGTCAGAAGGGAGCATTCTCTGGAGAAGGATGTCATGCTTGGTATAGTGGAGGGTCAGCAAAAAAGGGGAAGGCCCTCAATGAGGTGGTCTGACACCGTGGCTGCAATGATGTGCTCAGGTATAGCAAGGACTGTGAGGCTGCCGCAGGACCGGGCAGTGTTTCGTTCTGTTGAACCTAGGATTGCTGTGAGCCAGAGCTAACTCAATGGCACCTAACACAACAACAATGTATGGAGAGAGAGAGAGAGAGATCATAAGGCTGGCACAGGACTGGGCAGGGTTCATTCTGCTGTACATGAGGTCGCTATGCGTCAAAACGGATGGTGCCTAACAACCAAGCCATCCACTTCTGGTATTTTTGTTGCGGCAGCACCAGGAAACTGAAACAGAGATTGGAATAAAAACATACAGCAGGCGCTTAGCACTGATCACGGCCAATGATACATACTTGGTCCACAGTGGGGTCTGGTGTTTCTGTGTCTGGAGAAGTGATGCCAGGGGGAAGAGCCCGTGTCAAGGTCAAGAGGGGAACAAGAGCCATGGGGATCCCCCCGGCACTTGGAGGAAGCTGCAGGGCCCATACAAAGCCCTGGGCAGAACCTGGGAACTTACAGCCCTCAGGGTGGCTCTGTACAGGACGTCTGGCCCCGAGCCACAGAATGCCGCATGCCCTCCAACTGTTTGGCTACGGCTATCAATACCTCCGCCATGCAGAGGCTGGGAGAGGTGATGGTCTGCCATGCTCACCCAGACAAAGTGTGCAAAAGCCCAGTTGGAAACCGAGGTTCTCTGCTTCTTCCCACCTGCCAGGATTTGTCCCACTCACCAAACCCTTCCACGACAGAATGGATGCTCTCAGTGGGAAAGGGACTCTCCCTGGCCACACAGAACAGACTGGATGGCACTGTTGGCCCACTTTACAGGTGAGGACACGGAGGTGACACAGGAACTGAAGGGCTGCTGAATTCCAGAGGCCCACAGACCTCACCACCAGAGCACACTGACCCTTGGAGGGCTCTGCAAGGTTCTCTAACCTCCAGGGAGATGCCACAGCGTCTGGACTGGGCACACAGGGGCCTTGAACTCTACCTTGCCAGAAAGTGGGCCACTCTGAAGGTGGAGTGGACCACGAGGTACAGGGGCTCTGTTTTCTAACCTCTCTCTCCCTCCTCTGCCACCAGCAGCCCCCACTCTGATTCCATTTGACTTCCCTTTCCATCCAAACCCAAAACCAAACCCACTGCCATTGAGTCGATACCAACTCAAGGCAACCCCCACTGGGTTTCTGGGCTGGTAAATCTTTACTGAAGTAGATTGCCCAGTCTTGCTTCCGCAGAGTTGCTCGTGGGTTTGAACCACGAACCTTCTGGTTAAGCAGTCAGATGCCTTAGGCACTGTGCTACCAGAGCTCCTTCCTCTCCTTCTGCAGCCCCTAATCGTGAGGCTCCCCTCTGGAAGAAAGGCTGTTCCCATGACCTTGGGTTTATGGGTCAGAGTGCCCAGGGACGCTGCAGACAGAATTTTCAAGTTCGAATCCCTAGTCAGCCACTTCTGCAACGACAGAGAGTGTTGGTACCTCTCTGGGCTTCCTGGAAGGACATGCCAAGATGGACTAGGAACATTCAAGTGACGGCTTCGGGCACGCTTGCAGACTAGGAGGAGGGCAGCAGTCCTCAGAGGCACCTACTCATACACCTTCGTCAAGTGGGGGCATTATTCCTACGATAGGACCAAGCATTCCGCTTAAACCCCTCCCTCAAGGCAGGGCCAGCCTCGATGTGCTAACACCCCAGCCATAGCCTTCACTCACGTGAGCCCCTTTCTCCAGGCCCCAGGGGTTGCGTCAGGGGCTTCCCATGGAAAGTGAGGGAAGGGATTGCGTAGTGCCTGCGAGGGTGCCTGAGGCAGGCCACAGAGACCGCCAGGAATCCCAGGACGGAAACCATGTTGAGACCGGAAGAGAAGCGCAGGTCACGCTGCCCGCGGGGGTGGGGAAGACACGCTCAGGGGCGGAAGGGGCGCGTGGAGACCCGCAGGGGGCGCCGGAAGGGGCGCGCGGAGTGGTTGGCGACGACGGCCGGGGCGGCGGCCGTTGGTGAACAGCGGCCTGGGCCAGACCAAGGTCAGGCGTCTGGCCAGGCCGCAGTCACCATGACCAAAGACTACCCCAGCCCCTTGGGGGGCGCCCGCGCGTCGCCCAAGAAGCCGGGCAGCCTGGGCTCGGCGACAGCGGTGCTGGAAGAACAGAGGCGGGAGGTGGAGAAGCTGCGGGCCGAGCTGGAGGCGGAGCGGGCGCGCGGGCGGGCCGAAAGGCGGCGCTTCGCGGCCCAGGCGCGCCAGTTGCGAGAGGCCGGGGAGCGGGAGCGGCAGCAGCTGGCGGACCACCTGCGCTCCAAGTGGGAGGCGCAGCGCAGCCGGGAGCTGCGGCAGCTGCAGGAGGCAGTGCTGCGGGAGCGCGAGGCCGAGATTCGGCAGCTGCTGCGTTGGAAAGACGCCCAGCTGCGGCAGCTGAGGCAGCGGCTGCAGCACGAGCGTGACGGCGTCGTGCGCCAGGCCCGGGCGCTGCAGCGCCAGCTGGCGGAGGAGCTGGTGAACCGCGGCTACTGCAGCCGCGCGGGGGCGCCCGAGGCGGCGGCCGCGCAGTGCCGCTGTCGCCTCCAAGACGTGCTGGCGCAGCTGCGCTGGGAGACCGATGGCGAGCAGGCCGCTCGCATTCGCCACCTGCAGGCGGCGCTCGACGGGGAACGCCAGCTGTTCCTCAGATACATTCTGGAGCACTTCCGCTGGCGCCCTGCTTTGTCTGCGCTCCCGGACCCCCAGGCTGTGCCCGCCTCGGAAGAGCCAACGCCAGAAACAGCCAGCTGCCGCCCAGAGCCAGCCTTTCGACGTGGATCCCTCCGCAGCCAGAGCACCAGCACCCACGTGCGCTCCCGTTCCCTCGACTTAGTGCCCGGGGCGCGTTCCAGTTCCCCCGACCGCCTCCTCCCTACGAGGGCCAGCTCTTTCGACTCCTTGGCCCCCGCGCCGTCCCACTCGCTCAACACCACCCGAAGTCGTCCCAAGGCCTCCGAAGCCGAGCAACTGGCCTCCTCCTTGCCAGATGACTCCATCCTGGGGTCCCCGCGCCCCCTGGCCCCTCCGCCGCCACCATCACCACCGCCGCCGCCACAGTCCCCGTACCCGTCGGAGCACAGGAAATCTAGCGACCTGCGGGGCGGAGACGACTCGGCGAGCCAGCCCTGCGAAGTCCTGACCCCCTCGCCGCCGGACTTGGACTACTCGGCGCTAGTGCAACGGAACTCGGAGCTGGCCGAAGCGCTCCAAGTGCTGGCCCGCCGCTGCTCCGCCCTGCGCGAGGAGAACTACCAGCTGCGGCGCGCCGGCTTCCCCGACGAGGCGGAGGAAAAGGTGAAGCGTCTCAAGGTAAAGAACGCGGAACTGACGGGCCTGGCGCGGCGCCTGGAGGACCGCGCCCGCCAGCTGCAGGAGACCAGCCTGCGGGCGGTGAGCGCACCGGTGCTGGGGGAGAGCCGCGCGGGCCTGGAGCTGTACCAGGCCTTCGTGCGCCTGCGCGCCCGGGACCTGACGGAGCAGGCGGGGGCGCTGCTGGCTAAGGACAAGCAAATCGAAGAGCTGCAGCAAGAGTGCTACCTGCTGCAGGCGCGCTTGTCCTCGGGCTTGGGCAGCGCCCCGCTCCCTGAAGGGGGCGCCCCCGGCGCGCAGCGGCTCCCCGTGGGCGACTTGGAGTGTCTGCTGCGCGAGTCCCGGCGGGAAGTGTTACGCCTCCAAAGACAGTTAGTACAGCAGGGCGTGGGTGGCGCTCGGGCAGAGCGCAGCTGCCAGAGCGCACCCTGCGAAGAGGCGCAGCGCCAGCTTCGGGAGTTGGAGCGCGAGCTGGGCGCGCGGCGGCGCGAATGCGAAGAGCTGAGCGCGCAGGCGGTGGCGGCGCGGCGGCGCGGCGAGGAGGCCGAGGCGCAGCGGCAGGCGGCGCTGCGCGAGGGCGCTTGGCTGGCGGAGGAGAACGCGCGCCTGCAGGCCCAGGCCGACTTGGTGCGGAAGGCGGAGGCCGAGAACAGCGACGTGTTGCGCCAGCTGGGCCGCGCGTGCCAGGAGCGCGACGCCAGCGGCCTGCTGGCCGAGCAGCTGCTTCCGCAGTTGGCGCGCGGACAGGACAGGCGGCAGCAACTGCAGCATGACCTGCAGAAGGCCTTGCGGGACCTCCAGGCTGCCTGGGAGGGGATACGGGCCCTGCGGTGTCAGCGCCGTGAGGCCACCCAAGTCCCCAAGTCCCCAGCCGGGGGCGGTGGAAGTCCCGAGTGCCAGCCAGGACTTGAAGACCCAGCGCTGCCCCAGCCCAGCGGGTACAAACAAAGGAGAGAACCTTCACTAACAGAGAGCCTGGTAGCTCCAGGGGAGCCAGCCAGTGTTCCCCAAGGGTCAGCCAGTGTCCCTGCCGACGCGCCTCTGGACTCCGCGCCCCAGGCCAAGAAAACTAGCTCCAACTCCTCATCTGAGATGGAGTCCGTGTGGGTCACTGTGCCCTCCTGCCCTAATCTGGACTTCGACACAGCAAGCGAGGTGGATGACCTGGAGTCTGACAGCCCATCCCCAACCCTGGCCGTGGGGGGCTTGGAGGTCCCTGCCACCACCCAGCTCAAGATCAAGGACTGTGTGTACATCTTTGGGGACATGGATGAGGATGGCTTTTATGAAGGGGAGCTTAAGGATGGCCAGCGGATCCATGACTGTGATATTCCGGGCTGCCCTCCTTCCAAGACCCCCCCCCTTGACCCCAGTCCACTCCTGGCCGGGCAGGGCAAAGCTCTCCAGAATGACACTAGTCTTAGCTTGTTACCTGGGAAATCCCAGACTGCAGTGGACAGCGGGCCACCCCCAGTGGCCAAGGTGGGCTCCATGATGGAAGTGGAGATCTTGGATGCTGGGATGCAAGCGCACCAGCCGGGTTCGCTGCACAGTGTAGGGGAGCAGGGCTCCTCCCGAGCTCCTTTAGGGGCCAAAGGGCCCCTCTGTGTGGCTCCCACGCAGCTAGAGCTACGAAGTGTCACGGCCACATCTGCTGAGGTCACGTGGGTCTGTAACAGCAGCAGTCACCCCCATGTGGTATACCTCGATGATCAAGAGCAGGCTTTGACCCCAGCAGGTGTGAGCTGCTACACTTTCCGCAGCCTGCGTCCTGACACCCAATACCAGGTGCGGGTGGAGGGGTGGCTGCCGTGGTCCTTGCTGCAGATGCCCCGGGAGACCATGTGCTGCGGTATCACCTTGGCCACACCCTTGGCCGGGCCCCCTGACCCCCCGCTGGATGTGCTGGTGGAGCGCCACTCCTCGGCGGGCCTCCTGGTGGTCAGCTGGCTCCCGGTGACCATCGACTCGGCCGGCTTCTCCAATGGCGTCCGGGTCACGGGCTACGCCGTGTACACTGATGGGCTCAAGGTTGCCGAAGTGGCCAGTGCCACTGCTGGGAACACCCTGCTGGACCTTGACCGGCTGCAGGTACCTGCAACGTGCCAGAAAGTCTCCGTGAGAACCATGTCCCTGTGTGGCGAGTCCCTGGACTCGGTGCCAGCCCTGATTCCCGAGGACTGTTGGACCTGTCACCGACGCCCAGAGGACTCTTCATCTGGCTACATCTGTGGCCACCCATCCACCTACAATGTCACCTTCCCCATCTGCCCTCAGAGGTTGGGGCTGGCTCCTCTGAGTGCCGAGACCAGCCCTCACACCCCAGAAAGCCATGGGGAGCTCCAAGCGGAGTTTCTGGAAGCATTTGCTGAAGAACCTCCAAGGAGGTGGGCTCCAGTGCCCAGCCTGAGTTCAGAAGGAGAAAGTCCAAGTTCAGGGGCCAGCAGCCAAGCCCAGGGTCCCCGAGAGGCTCGGGAGGTCTGCGGGCAGGACCTGTACTTCCACAAGAGCGTTCAGGACCACAGGCTGCCACTACCCAGTGGCCAGTCTGCAGAGCAAGAGAACCCCCATGGGGACACGGGCAACAGCAAAAACCCCACTCCAGGCCCTGTCCGTCACTCTCCCAAGGGTCGGCCTGTAAAAATGCTGGGTTGGCCCAAACCTTCCCTGGAGAAGGTCTCAAAGCAAAAGCAAGATGCCCACGTGTCCAGCCTTGCCCTACGGGGCCCCAGCGAGCAGTGTGTCGTCTCTGGCTGCCACAAGCATACGTGGGGTGTGGGGCAGCAAGGACCAAGAGAGGTACCCAGGGCCCAGGGTGGGCAAGGCCAGGTGCCGGGGGGCAGGCCAAAGCTCCAGGTCCACAAGCTGAGCTCAGTTCTGTGTCCGGCTCTGCCCGGCAAAGTCAAGACGGCCAGGCTTGGCCCCGCATGGCTGGGGCAGGGGGCCGACTCTCCGGCCAAGGTCTTCATGGCCCTCTTTGATTATGACCCTTTGATGATGTCTGCCAACCCCCGGACTTCAGAAGAGGAGCTGGCTCTCCAGAAGGGGCAGCTGCTGAGAGTGGGGGGCTCTCAGGACCCCAACTGCTTCTACCGTGGCCAGTGCAGCGGACGGGTGGGCAACATCCCCGGGCACCCGGCGGCCAAGGCACAGGTGGATGTGGCGTGGACCAACGAGAGGTGGCATCTACCAGCTCAAGGTCACCTGCACTCTGTGGCCTGCCCTGAGGACATTGGGGGGCTCGCTGACCACCAGGGCTCCTTCCCCGGGGCCCAAGGAGACCCCAAGAATCCCCCAGTATGGACTCCAAAGACCATGATAGCATCTGTGGGCTATGACCCGAGAGACAAGGGAGCAGGGACCCGGGCGAAGGGCCAGCTGGCCCTGACAGCAGGGGATGTGGTCACAGTCTATGGCCCAGTGGATGACCAGGGGTTCTACTATGGGGTGTCAGGAGGCCACTGGGGCCTGGTCCCTGCCCACCTCCTAGACCACATGCCCTTCCATGGAGAGTGAGCCTCGGCCCCCCGCCCCCTCACATGCAGCCCAAGAGGACAGCAGGTGCGTGGACCCTCACACCCCTCCCCTGCAGTCTTCAGCAGCAGTATCTGTGCCCAAGACTGTGATACCCACTGATGGTACCACCACGTGTCCCCTCACCCCCAAAAGTGACAAGGCTTAAGTCTCAGCTGAGTCGTTTCCAAAAGAAAAGGAAACTTGAAGCCCCAAGAATCTGTTGGGCTGTGACAGTGTTGTCAGACAACACTTTTCTGTGGTTGTTGTGTGTTTTCTTGGGTTTAACATTATACATCCATTTCCTTGTGTAAAGGCCTCAAGAAAAATCTACCTTTTAAAAACCAAATGATCAGAAGGGTTATGTTCCTAACTTGTGTTCAGCTGCTCATTAAAATGTTCAGAGAAAAGCCGTATTACCTTAGACATTGAAACACTAACAGGAAACACAAGCCTGCCTCCTCCCCGCCCTCCCTCTTCTGTCCAGGGAACACAGGGCAGTCTTGGGCTCTTTGGAATGAGCCCAGCTGAGGGTTAGCCAGCCAACTGGCCTGCAGAGGGTGTGGCCACTAGCTCGGCTAACAAAACTAAGTTCACTGCCATGGAGTGGATTCTGACTCAGGGTGCCCCAAGAGGACAGAGTGGAACTGCCCCAGAGGGTCTCCAAGGCTGTCAGTCGTCATGGAAGCAAAGCCCAAACCACACTCACTGCAAAGCTCCAACCGCATCCACTGCAAACCCCCAAACACCCCCACTAACCAGGAGTCGATTCTGACCCACAGTGCCCCTAGAGGACAGAGTGGAATTGAACCACATGGCTTCCAAGGCTGTCACTCTTCAAGGAAGCAAAACCCAAACCAAACTCATGCTGTGGAGTTGATTCCGACTCATAGCAACCTGCCTTGGGTTTCCAAGGCAGTAAATCTTTACGGAAGTAGAGTGCCCCATCTTCCTTCCCTGGAGAGGCTGGTAGCCTTGAACCACAAACTTTCTGGTTAGCGATCAAATGGCTTAGGCACTGCATCCCCAGAGCTCTTAACTGGGCTGACAAGAAGTCCCTAAGTCTCGCCCTCCCTGAGGGTGTCCCTGAGCTGACTGTCTCACTGCAAGCCCTTGGTCGACCTCTCCGGCTGCTGTGCCAATCTGCATGGTTTTAATGGCTACCTTCTTCCCCCAGGAGTTTTGGAGGGTAGCCCCCACCTCCCAGGAGGATGTGCCCTTCTTTGCCTCATTATATATATACATACACA